CTTTTCAGTTTTCCGGTTTTTTTTGCAAGAATGTTTAAATCATTTAATTTCAGTTGAAGGGAAACCCAGTCCTGATCCGAAGTTAAGATTTGAGCCCGGCGATCTAGAGAGAAAGCGGTTTTAGTCAGTCATGATGCACACTCGAAGAAAAGAAATCCCAAAGGCGAGTAGACCATGTTAAAAATAATTGCCTGTCAATTTACATCATGTCGAAAAATTTCCACCTCGAGATTTTTAAATCTCGTAAACGAAGACTTTTTGTGGTTCAGCTTCCACGAATCTTCTACGTCACAAGTAAATGATCTGAAATACTAATCAGAAAGATCACAGTTGCCACATCGGTAAGGATTTCTCGGATGATGATTTATTTTCCGAGTAGGTACTTGTGTCTTTCAGTTTATTTTCTCATTGAGAACCTCTCATATTTGGTGTCTCAATGTTTCCCTCAAAAAACATTTTCAGTCGAACTGAAAATAGTATTCAGTTTATTAGTATTAAAATTACATGGATTTTACTCATGAGCAAAGAAGTTAAAAGGTGAACGGTAAAAAGATAAAAAAAAATTTAAAAAATTAATAAAAAAGTGTTACAAAATATGCGTTGCTATTTTCGTTTGCTTATTTGAATATATTTTTTTTACTCGCGTGTCCTCACTCTGTAAACAAAATCTTTCAAAACTTTCAAACAGATTGTGTGTTTGTCATGTTATTTCAAAATTAAAAAAAGATAGAGGATTGAAAAGCTTTAAAATCTTTCCTTTCTACCGTCGAGATTTTTCGATTCTTTTCAGGCCCCTATCTGTGGTTACCGTCAACAAGAGGGGAGCCATAATAAGTTAATTTGGGAGAAATACTTAAAAAGTTTCAGAAAAAAAGCTTTAAAAAAACCGAGATAAAGCCTTGATCACTCAGAAGTACATAATCATAAATTATCACGTGACCTCCACCACTTGCCCAGGGCCACTCCGCCGGTTGACAACACCACAAGCAGACCCCCAAGCAAAGTAAGGAGGTTTGGCTTATGTCCAAAGATAGCGTAGTCAAATAAAAAGGCCAACAGGATGTCTACATTCCTCATCAGCGCTGCCGGGGCTGCTTTCTCCAACTGAAGACCCCGGTTCAAGCAGAAACTTCCGAATACTCCACAGAGAGCTGCAGAAAAAAAATAAGATCTGTGTTCAAGTGCAAATTTTAAAAGATTATGCAAAGACAACTCCAGAACAAAAATAGAATTTCATGCAATCACTTGTCTCACAAAATAACACAATGAACTACCATCTCATCTAGAGTGTGGTAATATTCCTGGCTGTTTATGCTACAGCCTGTTTCAGCCGCCTAATCAGACAGGAAAACGGAGCGCAACAACCGCCTGGCCGTGGAAGGTCTGGGTACGAGACAGAAAACGGCGCGGTATTAGAGGCGGGTGAAAAAGGTACTATTGTGTCGTTTACGATCGCGCTTTGTTAACTGAACACCTGGAACAGACTATTTATGGTTTAGAAAACTTAATAGCCTCCATAGATAACGAGCCATAAAGCCCACAAGGCCTAACCTATCTAACCTGTTCTAAAGAATTATTATTTCTTCCTTACTGATATGAAACGAGAAAGCATCCCTACCTACTCCAATAAGGAACCACCTTGTCGTCCCGCAATCCGGAATAACAGGGTTTTGAAAAACAAACATGGTCAAACCAGATAGGAGTGCACTGCACCAGCCAAAGTAGAAGACATTGGTGTAGAAGCTCACAGAACCACCAACTTTACGGACCATAACGAACGTCAATGATTGGACGACAGCTCCGGACAGTGCCACAGCATAACCAATCAGACGGGACGACTCGGTCACGTGGCTTGATAGATTTGCTACATTAAAAAAAAATAGAGTGAAGGTTTTGTAATTGTATTTTCTAAAAAATAATCGTGTTTGACTTCGAGTTAATGAATACTCCGATGTAAGTTTGGCTGTGTCAATCCCAAAGAGTTAAAAAATCTTAAAAGGTTTTGATAAAATCCATTCTACACGACCTTAATACATTTTGATGGTTCTTACTAATGATATTTCAAAGGACAGACACATAAATGATATCACCATTAACAGAATTGTGCTTTTTTTTCTCGCATAAAACAAAAATATCCCTTGTTGCCGTGGGTCTGTAGATAGATCATACATGTTAATAAAAAGTGGTAGGAACATGAGCAACACACTCGGTTCCGCCTCGTGTGCCATATTTTTTTCTCTTACCACGTTTTGACGTCATCTGTGACCTATTACTGAACAGACCCTCGGCATATGGAATCAATTAGACAATTTTGTGACGACAAAAATCTAACCGTAATCATAGGCGACACATACTTTGTTAAACGTCGTGATAAAGCAACTAGATCGAAGCATTTCACTAAAATTGAAATCCTTGATTCTTGAAATAAATATCAATATAAGGTATTTTTACTCTTTTTTTCTGTTCGAGGTAGGGAAAACAAAAAGAACACTGAAAATTAATGATGCATATCTATTCAAATTACCTGAAGAGCCGAAGAGAAATGTTGGTTTCGTTAGAAGGACCACTCCACCCAGACATACAAAGGTCGCTATTGCGTCAAAAATATGCCAAGATTCTTTTAGGAAAACGTAGGCAACCAGAGCGGTGAAAATTGGGGTTGTCGATATACAAACAGTTGCGTCTCCTAACGGTAGCTTGGTGAACGATCCGTAAATGCAAGAGACAGAAGCAAAATTCACTGCGCCGAAGCATACGAGGAATGGTCTGTGTTCCCTCTCGCCCAACAAGTCTGCCCGCGCCCAGATGGCACCAGGAACAACAAGAACGGTTTGGATCACAAGGCGGAAGAAGACGATTTCAAACGCTGGGATCGACGTGTTGGAAAGCTTCACAAAAAGCGATGCTATCGCAAACAGGACGCCAGATGCTGTGGTGAGTATAAGACCCAGACCAGACTTGCAACAAGGAAGACGACGAGAGGATGAGGGTTGTCGAAGATTCCACAAAGGGAGCCTTTCCGCCAGGCGATTTCTCCAGCTATGGCTGACGATTTCTTTGGGAGACGCGAAATTGCGGAAGCTCTCGCTGTCCCTCTCTAACAAGACGTGCTCGTCTGTTTCTTCGTCGATACTGCCAAGACGCCACACTCTTTTAGGCGGAGCGTCATCTAGATTTTGATAACTACTAAGGCTATTTCGCCAAAAAGCAGCAGAAAATGGCGAGCTCATTTTCTATCGCTTTCTGATTTCTTTGTTCTCCGCCGACTGATAAATTACTTTTATACAGCAAAAAGGAAGCCAGCTAAAGGTGAAGTAAAGGAATAAACGTCATTGACGATGAATTTTATGTGGGTCGCTATGGAAAAATTCGACAGTTCAGCGGTTTCGTCGTTAGCTCGTTTTCCGACGTTTTCACGAATTTGGCCTTCGATCCCTCCGAGAGGTCTCGTTGAAGGAGGAACGCTAGCTCACTACCCGAACAGCGGCTACTAATCTAGGTTAGCTTCGTCAGCGTGCGGCCAAAACGGTGAAAACCTAGGCCCAATATGGGTACAAGTGACATCAGCTGTTGATAATATGATACATAAAGCTATTCGACTGGTCAATGAGATAAGATAAAAAAAAATAACTGAACAGGTATAAATCATGCTTAGGAATGGATGTTTTTGGAAAGGATGTTTTGTCTCGACGTTATAAAATCCAGCAATTAACCTTGTGAACAGCGAATTGTGGCGTTATTTCTTTCAGTAAAATGGTCGCAGTTTATTTTCATATCTTCCCATGGCATCCAAACCGAAGCGAACCAACCCGCGGGACTAACCTTTGCCAGCGCCATTCAAAGCTCTTGTAAGAAATCGAGGCGATTGGTCAGCCAGTCGGGAAAACATGGGCGACCAAGTCGTCATTGGTGTCTAGTCTTTATTTGATTGGTTAAGAAGGAAGCGCAAGTCTGCTTAACCAATCACAGACGGATGAAAAGCACAACCAACACAATCCCCGATAAAGCTGGTTTTCCTTTGAGTAGTTCAAATTTTTGCCTCGGGTTTGCATGGCGTTTATTAAACATCTTGAAGAGCAGCGTATATTCACATTGCAAGGTTACCCAATGTTAACCACTTGTATATAACAATTTTAAAAAATTTCTTTCCTTTAAATGTAAAATTGTCCTTTCTTTTCTGCGATTTTACTTATTCGTAAATGAGATTGAAAAAAAAATTCTTAGAGCTACATAACAATGTTCAAACCATTTGATTAAAACAAACTTGGCCGAATCGACTCAATTTGAGTGTATTAATCAACCCTCCTATATATGATAGCATTCGGCTACATTTAACAAGCACGTTTTTGCTGTATATGCAGCCATATCTATTTTGAACAAGTCTGTAACTTATCTTGTTTCAGTGTAGATATAAAGTGTATAAATAAACCGACCATTCGAATGCAGAACCTTACTTGCATTTTCTCCCGGTTATTAAAACTTGGTAGAGCCACTGAAATCACCATCTGGAACTTTTCCTTCGCCATTGTTTGCTTGCCCAAATATACAGGATTTTTTCCGTAACACAATTTATGCGAGTAAAAGATGTTTCTGTCTGTCGTCACAGACAAACTTCCACATAATTTCCTGGAAAGAGGCCACTTGCTCCATTTTCCATGACACCCTCGAACCAACCGTTATCATGTTTCTTGACGACGTAAATGATCTTTCCTTCTTGAAATGTAAGCTCGTCTCCTCTTTCTTTAACATATTCATACAAGGTCACCACTGAAAGCAAGAAAACAAATGGCTTTTATAATCAACATATTCTGACCAAACCCTGAGCATCGATACTTAGCAAGGGAGATCCAGGAATCATTGATGTGAAAGGGGGGGTTGAGTCCAAACACATATTTTTTTTAAATACTGGGGCTGAAATAAGCTAAGAAACATTTCACGATTATAAAATTTTAGAAACACGAAGTTAAGAAGTAGTATGCGATCCTGGCGTTGCAAGAATTTTGATTTAAATACCCAAACGGGATTGATGGGAGGGGAGGGGGAGAAATTGAACTTCCCGGACCCATCACCTAGATATGTATCCGCCTAGGTACTGTTAATCCTGAAATACACGATTGCTTGCGAACAAACACCCCTTCGAATAAGCACCCCTCCTATCGACCAATTTTAACAGACGAGTGACCGCGTTAAGTGCGCTAATGCGCTATAAATCCGAGGTTTACGGTATAAAAAGTCGATTACGCCGAAAAAAAAAAAAATCCACCTACCTTTTTCTATGTAGTTTTTAGGGATGCAAGAGGTCTCTTTTCCTGTTAGCACGGAGGGAACCTGGTACAAATTATCTTGTGGCACGGGCATTGGTAGTGATGATGGGGATTGGTAGTATTCTTCCTCAGAGGGAGGGAGTGAGGAGGCTAGACTACCTTCGCCTGATTATGATTAAAGAAAATCAAAATGTCAGTCTGTAAGTTCTTATACTAACAAGAACGATACAACTTACCGATACAACAATTTACTAATTTTTCGTTTACCTGGTTTGGATAGCTTTGCATTAGCACCATCACTTGGCAAAGGAGGGGGTGGTGGTGGGGCAGGAATTGATCCTCCTGAGCTAGGGGGAGTCGATGGGGATGGTACAACAGCAGGAGGTGGTGGTGGGGGAGCCGCTCCTCCCATGGCAGGAGGTGGTGGTGGGGGAGGAGGAACTGTGCCTAATTTACCAGGGGGTGCTCTTGGAGAAGGAACTGCTCCTCCTACACCAGGAGGTGGTGGTGGGGGAGGTACTGATCCCCCTATGGCTGGTGGGGGTGGTATGGCTCCTCCAGTACCAGGAGGCAGAGGTGGAGATGCAACTGCTCCTCCAAGACCAGGAAGTGGTGGTGGGGGTGGTATTGATCCTCCAAT